AGCAACTAGCTAAAAGAGACAAAAGAAAAACAGAATTATTTATTCCCAACACTTAGAATCTGTCGGCTATCATGTAAACCAATGATTGTTTCATTAAGACCGAGGGGCAAACATGTTTCACGCTCAGCAGAGGACAAACCCTAAAAACATTTCCTGTTGGAGTCGCTCCATCTGATCTGTCTGTTATTTTCAACAACTTCCGTTGCCAGAGACATTTGAAGCCATTTTTAAGGAGAGCACAGCTGAAACTTTTTAATCAAATCTAATCTTCCCTCACTTCTATCCTGAAACCCAGAGAACTGGGAGGTATTTTCCAGTCATGTTTGACTCCTTTTCCCCATCAAACTGAAGGGAGTGTCTGGTAAAATAATCCCAGTGGAGAAACGTAAACCTTCTCCGAGTTCATTATGAAATCTACAAGGAGAGACAGAGAAGCTTCGCTCTGGACTAAAACATGCCAGGGAAACGTGTGATGAAAACCATCAACAATGCTTGTTCCCTGTTTGCAATAGCTGACAAGCTAACCGTCCAGAAACGGAACCACCAGAACTCCAACACAGTGAATCTACAAACTTCTTAACTGAGAAAATGTAGGAATGTTTTCTGTCACATCAACACCAAATCTGATGTCGATGCTCTAATGTTTAAGGAAAGAGACAATTCTGTCAGCCATGGAAACCCAAAGGCATTATACATCGACTGACAGGTTTCCGTGGTTACCACAGGACTGAGGCTGGCCTAGTCAAAGTGTTCAATGACATGAATACAGACTGTGGAAGAACCACAGTACAGGTTCTGGTTCTGTTGGACCTCAGTGTTGACCATGACACATCACTGAACGGCTGGAGAGCTGGTAGGGTGCTTTGGTTCCGGTTCTGGACTTGTTCCGGTTCTGGACTTGTTCCAGGTCTGGACTTGTTCCGGTTCTGGACTTGTTCCAGGTCTGGACTAGTTCTGGGTCTGGACTGGTTCCGGTTCTGGATCGGTTCTGGGGTTGGACTGGTTCCGGGTCTGGACCGGTTCCGGTTCTGGATCGGTTCCGGGGTTGGACTGGTTCCAGTCCGACAGAAAGAATTGGGATTTCTTTGTTTCAACAGGAAACTTCTCACTGAAGAGGTCAGAGGTCACAGTGGGCTTCCCCAAGGCTCAGTCCTACAACCTCTCTTATATCTATAAGCTCAGGTGAAAACAGGAAATCAGACCAGTTACCATGACAACGCAGACGCTACACAGCTCTACATTACTATGTCGCCAGGCGACCTTTGACCCGATCCAATCCCAGATGCCTAGAGCAGAGAGATGTGTGTACGTATCTCTGTCCATCCAGTTGTCATGGAAATTGTGAGCGAACTTTTAAAGTGTCGCAGAGACCAGAAAATGCGATTTAGGCGTCTTTCAGTGTCCTGGTTTGGAGCGAATCGAATTGTTTACGTTATTGTAACGAACAGGAAGCTGAGGCAGCAAACCAAGATGGACAACACGACTCAGAAACACTTCGTGGCTCTGGTAAGGCACAGACCCACCAGTGGAATGGCAGCGTTCGCTGCAGCAGAACTTATTCTGAAAACTTGTTTCCATCTTCCCTTTAGAGCATGAAGTCCTTTAGAAAAGTCAGTGACAATAACAATGAAACTGAGGAGCTCAGTTTGAATGTTGCCTTTTCTTTCAACCTTTTCTAATGTGAAACTTCAAACTGTGCATAAAAACCGTTGAACAGACAAAGCAGAGAGACAACCGTTGGTGTCTCTCTGCTTTGTGTCCTTCATGGTGAAACCAACGTTAGAGAGACATTTACGGAGGAGTTTAGATTAAATGTATGAGGTCGTTAATCTGTTTTTTTGTTTTCTGTGCTCTTACATCTGTGAATTGATCTGAGCATGCATCAATAAAAGGAACCTGTGGCGTCTCTAGTGTTGTTCTGCTGCCGGTTCACACCAAGCACAGTTATGTTTCTCTGCCATAAACTGGTTATTGATTCTTTAAAATGGCTTTTGTGTGCCGCCCAAGCAGGCAAACTCCACATATTTCTATCTTGGTTTATCTAGACAGACAGAAAAACAAGAAGTGAGGTCAGGAGAACATTAATTGTTTTACTAAATCAGCTTCAATCAGCTGGAAGGAGAATTTAAATCCATCCTTCTGGACTAAATCACAGAATCTTAACCGTCTCCTGCTGGACATGCAGACTGGGTCACTTTTTTCTAAGATTTGTAACAAGCAGAGTTTGTAACATCTGATCCACCAAACCTGCTTCCTCTCCACCAGGGGGCGACATGCTCCAGCAGGCGGCGCTCTCCTTGTGCTCTGTGCTCCAGCATCGTGTCAATAAGAAGTGGTGCTGTGAAGAGAACAACAGTCAGACTGAATGTTGAACATCAGCTGCTTTCTCCTGCTGGTTTAAACCTTGTTGGACAGATGGAACATTGGCTGTGGATTATTCTGGCTGCTCTTTTCTCTGGTAAGATACAAAGATCAACATGTTTCCTCCACATGGAGGAGAAGTCTGGAAAGCTGCTGATTGTTCTCCTTTAATCAATCATCTCTATTGATCCATCTCTTCCTCTGCATGTTCTGTTCTTCCCCAGAGTGTAAAGGAGACTCAGTGACGCAGACAGAAAGAGAAGTTGTTGCTGCTGCAGGAGAAACTCGGATTCTGGGATGTAATTATGAGAGCATCTCTGTGACGCCTACATTGTTCTGGTACAAGCTGGAGGAAAACAGTTTTCCACAGTACATGCTGAAGCAACAAACATCGACAACATATAAAGCTCCAGAGTTCAACAGCAGCAGATTTGATGCTGACCTCAATAAAACCAAGAAATCCTTCAACCTGACGATCCAGGATCTCCGTCCGTCAGACTCTGCTGTGTACTACTGCGCTCTGCAGCCCACAGTGACAGGAAACACCAGAACCCTGTACAAAAACCTGCAGTACTCCACAGCGGCCACTAGAGGGCCTCACTCCTTGTTAATCCACTAAAACCTGCAGTACTCCACAGCGGCCACTAGAGGGCCTCGTACATCAGGTTACATTAAGATGAGCTGCAGCTGCTGGAGCCAAACTAACCTGAAGCAGCAGCATCTCCACCTGGTTCCTGTCCAACAGTTCAAACTGGGAGAAGTCAGTGGAAACCAGTGGAACCAGTTAGGAAAACCCCTGGTGTGTCGGAGATAAACTTCCATGTATTTAGTTGTTTCAGCTCCACTGATAATTGATACAATGATCCAACAGTCTGTGAATGTTTCTTCATAACAAACATCTGTGAAGGTTTTTGCTTAAAATAATTGAAGGAGTTTTATTCTGAAGAGCTCCAAACAGTCTGATCCTGTTCCTGTAAATCAGCTGCTGTTACCGACTGAAGACACTTATCAGCCTCGAACCTCGCAGCTCAGAACTGCTACTGCCATGTTGTAACCAATGAAACTCCACCACTGCAACCCTGTTGCCATCATCTAGCAGACTGATCAAATACGGAGGCCATAAACGGCCAAACGGGGTAAAAATTGTAACTTCGATCCAATATGGCCGACTTCCTGCCTGTTTCTTATAATTTCTGCAAGAGTTTTCTGTACGTCCGAAAGTTGTCCAAGTGAACCAAACTTCATAGGTGTCCAATAAAAGGTCAATATCTGAATGTTGCCAGGGGGCGCTGTTCAGCTGTTCCTGTTGTCACTTTTGTAAAAATATGTAATTTTCACATGACTGATGCATCTGCACAATTCAGGGAGTTTTCATATGTTTAGGCCTCCAAACAGAAAACTGAAAAACAAAACGATAATAAAGGCTGCAGTCACATTAGACCTCCTTTAAAAGAAGAAAATACTTTTTCTGGTGAGTATATTAAAAGCTTTTAACACAACACAGATCTACTGATTGACCCAAAGCTGCAAATGTTCCTGTTTTCTGCTTGGCTTCGCTGACCTTGGTGACCTCTGCATCTGGTCAGGTCTATGAACTGGGATCGTCTCCCAGAGCAGCTGCAGCTGATGAACGTCAGACTCTCTGGTTGATTTGGGAACTTTTTAATGTCACCTTGTCAACTAAAACCTTGGACTCATTCCTCCTTCCCTGGGAGGCAGAAGATTCTCTGCTCTCCATCCACTTCCTTCAAGGAACGACATTCATAATGATTCATAATGACATTCATGTCAGTTTTTCATCAGAAAAACTGACATGATAATTTGGGAATTTAAACTAAGCCAAAGTTTTCATAAACTTCTCAAAATCAAACCATCAAACAGGAGAAAATATTCTTTAACACAGAGACCTGACGCATACGGCAGTACAGAGTCGTAGTCAGCAGTGTTGTGGTCAAGACCACCTAACCCGAGACCAAGACAAGACCAAGACCAG